AGCCAAGGGTCGAGCCCGGCATCTGACCTACATTTTAAAGAAACCAACAAATTTTTGTAGGTTTTCAAGGAACANGCCCACAAATTATCACTATAAAAAAAACTTGTGCATGATAACTACGCCATATCACGAACGTTGTCGTATAGTGTCGGATAACAGTCCTGTAAATTTTATAGACTAAATGTTCGTGATTATACAGAGTGTAACTTAATGGTGCGGGAAAACTATGGGTAGAAGTTCCACATATCAAATCAAGAAGAATGTCCATATCAACATATGTCTGGAAACACTTAATTTGTGCGTAACAGCTGAAAGAATATTTTCTTAACCTATTATATTGTTGTAAGATTTGAGGTTTTCACGGCGGTGACTATGAAGAAAGCAGTCTTCTGGGATTTGGCACCGTGTATAAGTGGTGTTAACCGACGTTTCGGAGGAACGTATCGCCTCCATCTTCAGGGTTGAAGGAAAAATATAAGAAATCGCAAGCGAAGAGACCGTGATTTCTTATATTTTTCTTTCTACCCTGAAGATGGAGGCGATACGTTCCTCCGAAACGTCGGTTAACACCACTTATACACGGTGCCAAATCCCAGAAGACTGCTTTCTTCATAGTCACCGCCGTGAAAACCTCAAATCTTACAACAATATAATAGGTTAAGAAAATATTCTTTCAGCTGTTACGCACAAATTAAGTGTTTCCAGACATATGTTGATATGGACATTCTTCTTGATTTGATATGTGGAACTTCTACCCATAGTTTTCCCGCACCATTAAGTTACACTCTGTATAATCACGAACATTTAGTCTATAAAATTTACAGGACTGTTATCCGACACTATACGACAACGTTCGTGATATGGCGTAGTTATCATGCACAAGTTTTTTTTATAGTGATAATTTGTGGGCTACAACTCGAGTAATAGAAGATGAATATCTTGTTCCGTTTCGGAGAAAATAAGATAACAATATTTGAGTATTTTACTCCCAATAAACGTAGCACTGTACTGCAATATATTAGCTTTGCTCTTGTTCTTGTTGTGTGTAAAGGAGGGCACTGTAATTCCGCTATTGGGCCTGATTCACTGAAGAAACACGAAAGTGTACGTGTTGCTCCTGCAGGTTATCCCCTCCACCGAAGTGATTCTTGGAGAAATTTGCACAAATAGGTTACTGAGATACCCTTTCAGCATATTAAGACATCTTTTCAAGTACCTTCCTTTTTTTCACGGGTTCTACAACCTGCTTGAGCCCTGGCCTTTGATTTTCAATTTCATGATCATTTTATAAACGGTAGAGCTCCTTATATGAGTGATAAGCTCGTCGCAAGGCCGCTACCTAAACACAGGACAACGCAAATACAGAATAAATACATACCAAACATCCATACCTTGTGGGATTCGAACCCACGATCCCGGCTTCCGAGAAGCGAAGACAGTAAATGCCTTACAAAACTCGGCTATCTTCACCGGCCAAGCACCCTCCATATCGGTCTTAAAAGTATCTTGGCGTTCAGAACAATGGAAGTTTTCAGTTTACCAATGAAATTTAATATAATGAATCAGATGGTTGTACTGAGTAGTATGAACATATTTATAGCACGTTATTTCATGTTATGTTTTAAATCATATTGAAAAGAGTTTCCATGGATATCTGTCTCAGCTATCTTTGTTACTTTAAACGTAAAATGATATATTTTTCCTCTTAAATATTATAATAAATTTTCAATGATTAAATAATTATAGCATAGTGATCTTGTTTTATATGCAAATATATTTTTATGTCATCATCATGCATCTATGTCTATATTTGTCTATATATCTGCGATTCCTAATAACTTCTCAGTGAAGCAATGAATTTTTCTGAACTTACCATCACTATAACGATCCCGGAAGTTCTTCCATGCTTTAATTTGCAGTCATAAATGATAGCGACAGTCCGATCATACAAAGTTTCGAAATGGAAACGATAATAGCCTCAATTTCTTATAATATTTCAATAATGAGTCAACCGACAACAGAAAACCAATAAACGTGGTTCTCCAGCTTCGGGGTTGTTGAGGCCCCGAAATCATAACCGTACTGAATAACAGATCTTGCTTTCCTCTTGAAGACCATTAATTGGTTATGATGGACAGAGAGGCCGACGGGTATTCATTTATATCCTTTAGAGATTTAATTTATTTACATTAATTCCATTAAGAATGGTGGTTTATGGCAGCAAAGGCTGCAGAGTTAAATATGTACTACATCATTAAACTTCTGCATCTACCTGAGAGCTTGCAATTTACAGGTTTATGACAACGCACAAAGAACACCCAGACACTTGCTTCAGTGACATATTTATCTATCGAGCAGAGAATTTCTTACGTGAATATACCAGTATTGTTGAAATTATAGTAGGCAAATCTAACATCTTCCCATTTTCTTGTACAGTCAATTAAGTACCCGTAATTGATTCATGTATTGAATGAAACAGTTTTAAAAAATGTAAATGTTGAGAAACCACGAGAACCTTCGCCCAGATACCGTATTTACGCATGTATAGGCCGCACATTTTTTTGCCAAAAATTCAAGAGGAAAACTGGGGTGCGGCTTATATTCGAAATATTCGCAATCACACTTCATTTAAAAAAAAAATTATTCTTAATTAGTAATACAGGGTGTAATACTCCTGAAATAATATTCCAAGAAAATTATTTTTTTTATAATTTCTGTCTGAAAATTGTGCTGCGGCCTATACACGCACGCGGCCTATACATGCGTCAATACGTTAATTGAAAGATATTCCCATTGTTGCAACCAAAACTACTGATATACACAGTCGTCTAAAATAAGCTTCAGGATCGGCCAAACTTGATTACTATGGAAAGTCCTGTGTTCTGGGATATGACGCCATGTACCCTTGTAAAAGTTTACCAACGATTCTGAAGAACGTGCTAATTGTATCTTCATAATAATTTTTGTGAAACCTCAAATCTCACATTGTTTAATGCGATTTGAAGCTTACTTTCCTCCCCTTTTGTAAGTCCTATCTCAAAAAGAAATATTTCTCAGGTATCATGGTAGCGTTGTTTCCGATTGAATAGTTGTGCACATTTGTAGGCGCCTCAATTCACTCGCACTTTCAACCTGGCGAAATTACTTACAGAATCATTTATATCGATGGTCAGTGCGATGGGTGTGCGCCTAGGAATTTGCTTTTGTCTTCCATGAAACACGTCGCAAGTTGCCCGATTCTTCGCATAATGTGACAGTTGTGAAGTTGGGGCTGCTTCTCGCCCCTTCTGAAGGATGTAATTTTTTAAATTATGCAGCAGTTTCATAAAAATTTCTGTCATTATACTTCCCACAAGCGTGTGATGCAATGCAGTAAAAGATTCAAAACTTTTTGGGGTAGTGTTTGTGAATAAGTACTGTAATTTTAATATACTTGAAAGAATTCTGACGATGATGTATGCTGTACAGAACTATTAGGCTTATTTCCATTATCTGGTACATAGAAGACAAAAACCAAAGCGTTTCGGAGGCAGGTCAAGTTTCCGAAACGTTGTGGTTTTTGTCTCCTATGTACCAGATAATGGATAGAGTCCAAAATAAGCCTAATAGTTCTGTACTGTAATTTTAATGTTAATTTTTGTGGGGTATCTCAATTGAACTGATTTTGTGTATAAAATAATATTTTTTTTTAGTTTAATACAATTTATTCATCGCTCCCTCTGATATAAATATAAATGTAGCCACAGTATTCCCAAGTATCAATATGATGAAAGCGCCCTGCAGGTTAGCCATCGACAGCTTCAGCGGTCCAGCCGAATCTATGACACTACGTTTCTCCTGAAGCATAAACGAGATATTACGGTTGCCTCGCCTCAGTAACACGTCTCTCTGCCACTTGTCCATGATACCGGCTTCTTCTAGTCGAATTAAGCCTTCATTGAAGGCAGCTGTGTACGGAGAATCCTTGGCAAGCCCCAGAGATATGAAGAAGCGACTCATGCATTCCTTCATCACACGCATAGACTCCCAGTCGTCCGCCTCGACCCGTTCTGTTTCCAAGAAGTAATTTGTACCCACATCGAGCTTGTAGCCGAACACTGCGTGTTTCCCACGCTTCAGGAGATAACTGTGATCAGTATCGTCCAGTATCACGAACCTCTCTATGAACTTCTCATGCCACGGATTCTGTTGAAAATAAATTGAGATTTATAATAATTCCTCTATGACAGATAAAGTAGACTAGAAAAAATCAAATATATTTAGTTCTACATAATGTTTTTTTGGGTAAATTCATGTTCTCCTTTAAAAATGTATCTCCCTTTTTATATTGACTGACTTTCAAGTGTCATTTATAAAGTATACCATATTTTATTGCAATATTCTGAGGGATAGTTACTATAGGATTCTGACGATGGTGTATAACACACAGAGATATTGGGTTTTCGGACTTTATCCATCGTCCTGGTTTTTAAGATAACTAGGAAAAACACGACGTCCTAGATCTTTCTAAGGGACCCAACAGAATAGGTGTTTCCCTCACCTGAGTACGGAAACAGATCCAGTTTCCGAAACGTCGTGTTTTTCTTAGTTATCTTAAAAACCAGGACGATAAATTCTGAGAGATATTTTGCCGATTTTCGTAACATTCAAATCCTAGCAAAAATGACTGAATAATTTAATTATAAAGTATTTCAGTAGTAACCACTTAAGTCTGATATGAGTCTGTACATTAATTTTCTAATTTGTTATAATAATATTTTAACTACTTTATGTAAACAGAGCAGAATCTCTTGCTTCACCTATTATCACTCAAATTCCGAGGAAATGTTGGACAAAATTGTTCCCCCACTCCATACACACCAATGTTATCGAATGAGGTCATTCTAATTTCAGGCCCCTATCAGAGAATCAAATACGCGGCACGCTATGGCATGTCGAAACCATTCCAAATAGAATAAACTAAAAGTAGAGGCATGTTGAAATTATTTGTGTAATCAGATATGTTTCCTAGGGACTTCACACAATCTTAATATGTATGCTTTATAATTCAGTATATTTTGAGAAAATTAAATAATTTAAGAGTATATAACATTATGTTTGTAAATATTCTTTCTCTTTTGTTAAGAGACGTCACAAAATTATTAACTCCTGATAAAATTTATAAAAGAAAACACGTAAAAATTTTCTCCGTCCAAAGTACAAATCGTTCTGCCGTATGTCCACATATTTATCCATCCACCGAGGCTATAAAAATTGCAATTGCGTACATTAAAGCTGTAAAATTGTAGGCTTGCAATAACTTGATCACTTTGTTTTCTTTCCATGACGCATTTCGCAATGAGTGCCTCAAGGCAACAAATTTATTGCTCTTATAAAACTACTAATGATAATCATGAAGCAAGAATAAAGTTTAGGTAACTGTGCGTGGAAAAACGTCTGGTGTAGACAATGTATACTAAAGGTATGTACATTCTTATCGAAGATAATGTCGACCGTAGGGCAATAAGTGTGTCCCCAATGAAAGCCGGCTTCGACCAGGTCTTTAACCGAGTCCAAAGGGGGGTTGTTTTGTGGTAAAGTCAAGCGAGAGGCGAGGCCGCAGGAGTAGGCTGTTGTTACCAACATCGCGAACACAAACCACCAGCAAATGACATAACGGCTGGGTCCCAGTATCCTCTCTGGAGATGGAGAATACGCGAGAGCCAGCATCCCAACTACCTCCACGAAACTGGTGTCTAGGCGCTCGTATTCTGCAAATGGAGGGAAACAAAATTATGTTCCATTGTCTGGAGCTCCCTTCGAGAAAGTGTCATATACGAGATTGAATTATAATTTAAAAATTAGTGGAGCACGACGTTTTAATATTCTCTATACAATTCTGTTTTGGAGAAGTACGTAAAAGCATGTCATCAACTAAGTAACTGCAGGATCCCTTTCTTTTCTGCTCAATGCCAAGATAATAAGACATAACCTGAGGGGATTCACATGTCAAAATACAAGAACCAGTTACTATAATAAGTTAAACATCGTCCAAGAAATGATGGTCATAGTGTCATGATAGAAATTTTTGTCATGCTTATGGTAACATCTTATTTGCTATTTGTTATTATTTTTAATATTTTCTAAATGAATGAGGCCGGTCACGGTAGCCGAACAGTCTAAGGAATGTACTGTCTTCGTTTGCTTCGAAGCCGGAATCGTAGGTTCAAATTCCACTCAGAGTATGGATGTTTAGTGTTTGTGTGTCTATGCATTTTTCTGTGTTTTTGTGCAGATAGGGGCCTTACGACGAGCTGCCAACTCGCCCAAGATGTGCTACCGGATGACTAAGATCTAGTAAACCGAAGTGAAACGGAGAGTTTCATGGAGCTAGACCTAGGTCCAAATTGGGGATGTAGCATCAAGCGAAAACAATAAATGAGAATAAATTTATGAAGTAATTATTCATTTTTTATTTTGTTGTATAATTTGACACCCATAACTCAAATATTCCACCATGCTCTTCGACATTTACTGAGTTAAATAACGTAATTATTCATGGCTGTAACCTGAATTTATAATTGAATATTATCCTATGACCCAACTTCGGTCTGTCAAGTGTCAACTGTTCATGATACTTTGTCAAAAACATGCATTTTATCGTTCGTTCGCTACAGTTAACAGTATCAGTGATGACTTCCCTCATATGAATTCAGAAGCTTCGGTCTCACATTTACGTATAATTTTCTATACGCTATTATGACACTGTACCCATTTTTGGTCACATGACTTGAAATATAAAATTCTAAAGATTTGTGAGTTTCACTAACTGGCAACGTCGTTTTCTTCAGGTAATAGAATGTGCAGCTTTGATAGAACGACGGTTGACAGGGAACTTCAAATGATAGGTGAAAACCTTCTTCGGACCTAGTCTGCCTGATTCTACTATCCATATTTGATAGCCCGTGAGACCGTGGCTTCTAAGTTATTGAAATATATATGAGTGTTAGGCAAATGTAAATTGCTTATACATTTGTTTCTAAAACTCGAGAACTCACTGTGAGGTTTAACAAGAGGTTGAAGAGTCACCCGATGCAGATGAGTGAGGATAAATAGTGCCAGCGATGTGGCTAGTACAGAAAGTCCCAACACTGCCCAAACCTTACCATCCAGAGTGAGAAATACGGAACGCCAAGTGAGTGTCACACCTGACCGAGGAACAAGGAAGGTGTTACATATCTGATTCCATGGCACCACGTAATCCATTACAGTCATCTGCTCTTCGGTAATCCACAAGGTGCAGAAGGCAACATCTAAGGCTCCCGAAGCCAATCCTCCAATCAATCCGCCACTCCAAGTTCCGTTGTTGAAGTGACCCCAGTTTCCAGAAGGTTCGTGTAATTTCCATGTGAAATTAAGCCTCTTTGAGAGTTCGAGGAACGCCAGCATCTCGATTCCATCAAGAGATCCTGAGGACATATAAAATGTTGAAGAAAGCAGTCTTCTGGGATTTGGGACTGTGTCTATGTGGTGTTAACTGACGTTTCGGAGGAACGTATCGCCTCCATCTTCAAGGTAGAAGGAAAAAAATAAGAAATCCGCAGGCGAAGAGACCGTGAGAACCCTGAAGATGGAGACGATACGTTCCTCCGAATCGTCGGTTAACACCACATATACACAGTGCCAAATCCCAGAAGACTGTTTTCTTCATAGTCACCGCCGTGAAAACCTCAAATCTTACACATAAAATGTTAATGGACAATGTGTGTAAGAGTAAATTTCCAAAAATAGGTGAACAACCGTTAGTGTAACTATAAGTAATGTGCATTGAAAGAGGAACAGAGAAAGTGATGTGCAGACTATCCAGAATGTTTAAATATAACAAATATGGAAAAAGAAGTACGAGGGCTATTCGGAAATTTCCTCTGGTGCGCTGTTTCAGTGATTCAGTATTGAGGGGGTGGGTTTCCCCATGCACCGCGGCTGATAGTCTCTTGTACATCCCCCTTTTAATTTCTACCGTCTCCATCCCCTATCGACACTGGTGCTCGCTATCAGTCCCTTTCTGCCAGCGAGGTTTCTACCCTCTACTTGGCAGTGGTATCTAATAGTTAGTCCCTTTCTGTCAGCGAGTTAGTCCCTCCTCTGGCAGTGGTACCTAATACTTCCCCATCTATCGGAGGTATTGGAAAGCATTTGGACGGGAAACTTTTTGGCCTAATTTAGCTCAGAGGCCTCCTAGAGGCATGAGGTTCTTTTACATGCCGTAAATCTACGACACGGGACCCACGGCTTAAAGTCCATCCCGGAGGACTTTTTCCCTGAATTTTTCCGCTCTTAAAAATTCCACGACCTCCGCCGGGTTTGAACCCCCGTACCTTGAGTTATGAGGTGGGAACGTTACTCTTAGACTACGGAGACTGCTTGGTGAGCTATTAAAAAAACAAGCAATGACCAAGAGAAAATTATGTTAGAGAAATGTACAAGAAATACCTACACACTTAAGCTACTTCTGAACGTAGTTACAGCCGAAATTGAGGCGCTTATCGTAGGGGGGAATAAGTTTTTGTATGCCTTTGTAAAAGAAGTTCTTACAGAATTGAAACTTTATTCCTTTCTAAACCCTTAAAACCGATAAAGATTTTAGGTTATATTTAATATGAGACAATTCTGCATATTCTTAAAAAGCTACTTGTACTCTTCCACTAATTCGGTATAAGCCAGACCCTATACCAAAAGTCTCAATTTGACAGTTAATTTTACTATTACTCCATTGTTGCATTTTCAGTTTCACAGATAACATCTATGCTTGAATTAAGAAAGTGGAAAAAGTGTCCTTGTTTGTAATATATTCAACTTTATTTCAAAGTGACCCGTTCATGTTTAGGAATCAATGGAGCAGTATTATCAATTCACCTATATTCATAAGAAGTGTTCCTCAAATCGACCTAACTTGTGTGAGTATTTAAAGAAGAGGACAGTAGGAAACTCACCGTCGGTGATGGCTTCTGCTTCTGCACTGCTCACGTTCCCAGCTGTTCCGAATGAGAAGGGTGCACAGACAAATGTCCCTACTTGCAAAGTGCGCCCCATGAGGTCGGGAAGGGAAGTAGTCTTGACGGGCAAGAGATCAATCTCGCTAGTGACTTCTTTAAAATAGCGATACATTGCAGACATCGTTAAGCGATATATCTTGTCAGCATTGACGACTATCACATCGGCTTCGCCAAAAATATTTGAATGATCCAGCAGTAAGTTAACGGCGTTTAAAACCAAGATTACCAACCGATTTTTTGAACTTGGATTTCTATTGGAGGCTAGTTCTAAAATGTCCATTTCAGTGTCTGATATGATAGCATGTCCTTTACACTTCTTATCTATAACTGTCGTTATTGGTAACCTCAACACTTGATAGATTTCTGCTGTAATTTCCTTTGACTTGGAACCAAGAGTCCTTAGTTCTATGCACCAGAAGTCGGAGAATAATTCGTGCATTGTCCTTCCAATAAATGATTCCAGTCCGTGATCTCTACCTTCCTCAATCCGTAGGAGACAATTCGTTGGGTGTGCGGTTGATAAAAGCAGAACCCAATGTAGTATGGGAGTTACCTGAAAATTTGAATAGTACTAAGTGTATTTTGTTCTGCATGTAAGTTTTCCGGATATTTAATTTTTATTTCTGAAGATATAAGGTTTATGTCAGTTCCAAAATAAGAAAGTGTCACTAGAACACCCCTGTTCCTGATGTGTTTGGCGTGAATACGACAATAAAAGGGAAATATAATCTACAGGCCCCTTCTTTATTAGCTTTGTGAAGTACATACTCTATTTTGCTTCGAGTTATGGTCTGTTGATTCCCATATCTGCCATAAGAGTGAAGTTTGTGTTGGAGAACACGAAACGAAAGGAAATTCGACATACTTATATTATATTGTAGATATATATAATTATTATAGTTCTACTTTGCGAGGATGAGATAGGCAGGGCATGTAGAACGAATGGGGGAGAACAGGTATGCATACAGGATATAGATGGGAAAGCCGGAAATAAAGAAACCACTTGGAAGAGCAATAAATAGTTGGGTGAACAATATTAAAATATATCTTAGAGAGATAGCATGAAATGGTATGGATTGGATTGATCTGGCTCAGGATAGGAACCTGTGGAATGCTCATGTGATCACGGTGATGAACCTTCGGTTTCCATAAAATGTTGGAAAGTTTTTAAGTAGCTGCAGAATTGGCGGCCTCTCAAGAAGGGTTCAGCCCTACCATTCCGTGTAACAAGTAATTTAACGAGCAGGTTCGTGCAATTTAAATATCACATATTTTTATTGTGGGGGAACCCTGCCAGAATCTCGGATAGGTTAGTTCCTATCATAGTGTCAGCTCTCGTGGGTATCCGCAGCTCCTCTAGTCAAATGTCGAAATTTTACTTAACTCGAAATTCTTACCTCCATCCTGTTTATCAAGACATTTCCGCGTCATAGGGTTATATACAAAACTACATTTCAAAATCATCATTACATAAACAAGTACACGGTCAGTAAAGTGCGTTTAATTATCTTTAGAGTTGCTAATAGTCCTCACGGTACTAACATTTTTCTCACATATTGCGCTACGTAAAACGGTATAATAATTCCCCAAAGTCTGGTACCTTTCGGTTATCTATTTGTGATTTTTCTAATGATATTCTCTGTACCTCAGGCCATATCCAGAATCTGGAATGGTAGGATGATAGGCGAATGGTGAACTGAAGAGAATTCGTAGGTGGAAGGAAACGACCGCGATACAATTTAGGTACAATCCCGTAATACATCTCGAATGCCAGAGAGAAACCACGAACATCTTAGAGAGCATGGTCTGCCTCCGGGAAAAGATTTTGAATTCAGCACTTCCAGAATGAGAAGTACGGGTGCCACCCCACTTGAGTGCGTTCTTCGGTCACGCACTCCGTTAGCCCTGCAGTTCTGCTCAGTTCATCTGGCGTCGTGAATTTATGGAAGGCATTTCAATATGCCGAATCAGTCCTACGTGCTGCCCTCGTGTATTCATTAAGTATTCCGTTGGTTCCTACTACTTACTGGAAAGCTGTGGCGTGGTGAAAACAATTTGAAACAGCCCTTGTGCATGCAGACATACTGTGACAGTACATTACTGTACTAAACAAGGATAATGTATGCGTGTCCTAGGGAAAGTTTGCGAATGAAAATTTAATGACGCAGATATAGCTATAGTATAACAATGAATAAATAAAAAAATTATGGCACCCATAAATAATGTGACATATGGGCCGTTTCTATAACAATATAGGAATGTCCGTAAACATTATCGCGGCAACGAATACAGGTAACAGTAGAACAACTGCCTTCTCTATATGACGGCCGGTAAACACCTTCCCTTTTAAGAACGTGACAATAAAAGGGAATCGATTGTTATGGTGTACGCGCTGTGACTGGTTGCTAGGTTACACAGATATTCTGAATGGAAGAGGTTTTCTATGCTGTCCATGGCGCGGCTATATAACAAGAGCTGTGAGCTGTGGGATTGGAGCGAATTTGACTAGAAGTTGAGAGTCAGTGTTCCTAGTTGAAAAATAATTAGATGTCGGCCAGTGAGGACTATACGTATGAGCTTAAGGCTTTATAAGTGCTGCAGATAAATACATTGAGTGTGACACTTATAGTGCCTGTGTTAAAATCCGTTGCCAGGAAACGGATAGGGAAACCTTTTTAGAGGAATAGCCATTGTTTGTATCTATTGCCTAGCAGCGACTGGTTAAAGCAGATATAAAAGGCTTTATTTATGTGTTATAATTAGAGAAATCTCGAAAGTTTTATAATTATTTGTAGTTACAACAAATGAATATCCTATAAATTGACTCACCGATCCAAAACCGGGTCTGTGGTCACTATTGCACGTGACAATATTGTTTCAGGACACATTCAGTTACTTACATAAATTAAAAAAAAAATGTTCTTTCCACATGTGTATTGATGTGTTTCTTATGGTTTTATGACTGAACAGAGATAAATTCACTCAACAGCATTAACAGAACTATGTTCTGTATCGAGATACAGAGTGTTTATGTGATGTAAAATTACATTTAAATCACTGTATATTATCGTCATACCTACAACTGTTTACGTACAACAATTTATGGTTATGTTACAACAAGGTATAAATTACCACAGGGGTATATTCATAACTATATACAGTTAGACTTTTAATCACATCTCGTTCTAAAGTACATAGTATACCAGGATAATGAATTATATCAAAGTTGATGGTCATGTTTTCTGTTATCGATGCGGTATCTCCTGGCTAGCAATTATGATCCAATTGTTCTTAGGGTTTAACAACATGTCAATCAACATTAAAATTAAATATTATTAATTGAATCTTGTTTTTACTTACAATCAATATTATCGTGCTATTTTATATCTCAAATATTAATGTCCAAAAAGAGAAGCAATATGTCTCGTTTTAATTAAATTTTGTCACGCTGTATAATCTTAAAATGTACTTTGAAAACTAATACCGTCCATTTACAGGTATTTAAATTCGTTGATGTGTGCAGCACTTTTCAAATTATTTACATCTCCGACGTCCTTCATTTGACACACAAATAAATATCGTCGTACAAAAATTCAAAATATGTGACGGTCAGACATATACGTGCAAATATATTGCATACAGTGCGAATGTAATGGCAAAATTTTCATCCTCTGCTCTACAGCATGATACGAGCATGCAGCTGTTTCGTTTCATGCAACAGGAATGGTCTTCAAGGAGTTTTCTGGATATCGCAGACGTTGAGTGAAAATACGTGTTACGGGTACGCCTGTCTAAGAGGTAGCAGCGTCCTGCCGGACCTCCCGAGAAAGATCTCGCAAGTAAACACAATATTTGTATTACTAACACAAACAGAGAAGAAATGTTGGATTTGAGGTTCTCGCTCTGTTGCAACGAAAATTTTTCTCTTCTGGGTTAAGACGCCGTGTAGGCCAGTATAAGTTGACGAGCTCTGCTTGTGCCTGATTCATCCTGGTTTCTTGCTTGGATTACAAATTCTTCAACCCAGTAGATAGAAACGATATTTTGAATAAGAAAACTGTTTTTCGCAGGACTACAAGGCATCATGACATTGGCGATACAATTCTACGTAAGAAAATATTTACATATTTTCAATCATGAAGATAAATTCTCCATCTTTTCCATGTTCATAAGGGAATACAATGTACTTACAGTTTTATGCCACTCCATCCTTCCGCTCTGACAACAAAGATCTGTTTAATTGAACGCACTGTTCGCTGAAATGTCAACAGAGTAACTTCATACATTATTGCCCATCCTCTACTCGGTGGCTGGTTTATCTTTGAGTGGTAGTCACAAACGTTTCGATGTGCAACAAGATGGTCATAAAGATAAATAGAAAGGAAATAATTCCCCCCCCCCCCTCCATAATGGACACTTGCCACGAAGGGAAGACATGCACTGCCATAATGTTAATCTCTATTGGCTTTTCACAATCATTACAATGTCTGGCTTTTATTGTCATGTAAGTATAGTTGCATGACAATATTCCATTAAGAAAATATTTTAGGTTTTGAATATTAAATTTCGACAGTTCCATGCTCTAAATAAACGAGTCGACTATATATTATGTAACAGTAATATAATTAGGCTTACATGGGCCTAATAACTTTGTCATGGATGGAGCTAATGATTTTCTTTGTCTGCGCTCTTCTCACATACAACTGCACTGAAACAAGATAATTGATTTTGTCCTAAATTACGACTATCTCTATTATTCGCCTACGTAATGCTTGTAGCTACGTGTAATCATATAAATCTTCCTCATACAACTCGAAAACCGTTCATCAATAGTGAATTCAATAGCATAGTATTTTAACGCTGTAGCGACATATGAACATTGGTGCTTTGGAGAAACAGACGCTGCTGATCCGTTTTTACTTGTTCTCTATCGGAATAGAGTCATCAGTGAACACAGTTCCCATTCTTTGGCTGTGAGCATATTGTAAGTTTCATGCCTTACCCAAATTTATCTCCCAACAGAGGTCTCTCTTCCGACAGAGAGAACATTTATTTTCCAAAAATTGAGAGGATGTGACGTCAAACGTCTTTATATAATTAATCATCTTGACGCTGCACGGT